GGTTCCGGCAGCGGAAGCTTTCAGAAGGCCGGCGGAAACACAAGTGGCGCCCCCTAAGAGATGCCAACCGTGTGGAATTTGGACGTTCTGGAATCGACCAACCTACGTAGTTAGGTCTTCGGCAGCTATCCTTCTCTCGCCCTCGTCGTCGTCCTTAATTAGCCTTCCCAGACTCACGGCGGCTTGGCTTTTGTCGGAGGCATGGGCTCCGGAGCTCTCAACTCCCTCCACGGGGCCAGCTTTTCGTCCTTAGCTGTTCTTGACTGCCTTGGGTTCTCCGTGCTGGCCTCCAGTGGATTCACAGTTACACAACATTGGCCATCTTGTTTTTTGTTGAGCCGCCGTGTTAGGTTTTTCTCTTCCTCCGCGCCCTACAGTCAATACTTGTAGTAAGGATGAACGGCTTTCCGAGGTTTCCCCTGCCATCCTTTCCTTTCGGTTCATCCTTGGCCGCATCAGTTGGCCGCGCCACGCTCGAAAAGTGCCGGCATGGACTTCCAAGGCCCTTGCATCCTTATCGCGCAGCATCCTCGCCGCGACGACGACGAGGACGAGGAGGAGGGGGAGGAGGAGCGGCAGGAGGACGAGCACGACGAGGAGGAGGAGGGGGAGGAGGAGGACAACAACGACCCCGACTGCACCCCGACCCCTCACCATCAGTCTGGACTGCACCCCGACCGCTCCTCGATCCGGACCGTGTTGTGCTCAGTGCTGGGGCGGGGTTCACCGCGCGCGGGTGCACTCGCAGTTTCAGGATCACCACGGGTGTCCTGGGGGGGCCCAGGGTCGGTGGTTCAAAGACGGGGCCTTCAGGGAGGGGGTCCTAAGGACGAGGTGCCTCAAACAGTGCAAACGTGCCCTCACATCCCTTCCATCCTTGGGACCCCATCCTTCGAGACCCCATCTTGGAACCACCGACAGGACTCTGGCCAGGACATCTTTGACTGCCAAGGGGCAGGGCCAGCTCAGCGACGGTATGGCTGCGACGTCTGGAAGTTCTGCTCGGGGGAGGACCGCCGCGACCAGAAGCGCGGACCCTCGCCCTTCTCTAAGCACAGGGCATTTCGGGGGCCTCTTCTCGGGTGTCGTCTCGGCAGCCGCTCGGGGGCCTGCGGGCGGTCTCAGGGGCCCTCTTGGGGCGGAGGGCCCGAAGGGTTTGAAATGTTCGTTCGGGTTGCCCCTCTTGGGGCCTTCTTGGGCCCCTCTTGGGCCGTCTTGGCTGCCGCCTGGGTCGTCTTGGAGCTATATGTGGGGCATTTGTTTGCCCTCTGGGAGCGTTGGGACCCCAAAAGGCGAGAACGCTAGATCTCTTCAGACCCTTATGACAATCAATGATTTTCGCTTCTTGGGGCCCTCTAAAGGGTCTTCTTGGAGCCTGCCTGGCCAGTCTGAGAGGTTTCTTGGGCTGTTCGGGTCGTCTTGGGGGCGCTCGTGCGGCGCTCGGGTCCCGCCCGTCTTCGGGGATCTGGCCCCCAGAAAAGTCATGCGGGAAACCCCGTGGATTCTTGCGGGAACCCGCCAGACCCCCAATCCACATTGCCATTTGGGCTTAAGATCAAATTCCTTTTGGATCTTGCTTCGGTGGAGGAAGCAGGGGTCGCACGTGATTCCAGATTGTCCTGTAGGCGCAACATTTTGATCGCTAGTCTCCCACATCTGCTCGTGCACGTGCCATGGCCCATGCTACCCTCCCTGGCGGCAGCGCGGCTTCCGTCCTTGTTCCTCCAGGCGACGATGAAGATGATATGGCTGATGGTGGAAAAGGGCAGCGGGACAAGTACAGACGACCTGGCCAGTACGATTATGGAGTTTGGGCGGAGGCCATGGTAGACTTTCAGGTTTGGACGACGCACAGACTAGACGTCTTTTGCAGGACATGGGTGGCATACTGACGGACGCAACCAAACACCAACTGAAGGGCATTCAGATCATCAGAGATGACAAGGCCAAAGCCCGTACATCCGTATGCTCCCTCGAACGCAAGCACGCCATCTTGGAACACCGCCTCTCCGCTCTAGAGCAGGGTCCTCCTCGTGGTGGCAGCCCTATATTCGGCTTCCCCGGCGGGTTTCATCACTCTACCAGGTCAGCGAAAGGTAAGATGTGTGGGTGGTTTCAAATACGATTCAGGAGAGGCCCCAGTCGCCCAGATGAAGCGGAAGCTTGCTACAGAGTCCATCCGCTACTACAAAGTTTCGTCCACGGGATTTTGTGGCGAACGTGCCAATATTCATATATATGTATGTATATATATATATATATATATATATGCATTCATGGTTGAAATTATGAATGGGGTTGCCGGAACAATATGAAGGGCCGTAGATTCAGTGGTGGTACGCTCAGAGCCTCTGGGACATTTTTCTGGCACAACATCGACAAACTAGGCTGGGAGACCGGAGTCGGCAAACAGCAGGTGAAGGCTGGCAGTCTGCTAGAGCCCACGCTCGCGTTTTTTTCTCCGAATGCCAGAGACCACGACTTCAAGAGCTGCTTCGACATCAAGAATGACAGAGGCGAGGTGATCTTCTTCCTCAGCAGGCTGCCTGGAAATGCTCGCGTGGGCGGCCCGGCCAAACTCCGCGCTCGGACAGGACCCTTCGCAAGGCGAAGATCTCAGTCACGGGTGCGGTTCTCGTGCAGGATTTGCGGCTCGACCTGAATTTAGACAAGTTTCTCCCAGACTTTCGCGCCGCCGGGGATCCCTGAGGTGGCAGTTCTCTGGCACAACGGAGGTGGCGACGGATGCCTCTGAAGGGCCAGCCATGAGTGTTTCGCTTTCCGCCGTGCCGAACCCCAGAGCAGATCGATGGGCATCGAATTAGCGTGGCCCCCAAAAGTGGCAAGGACAGGCAAAATGCGATCGTCATCTATCGAGATTGCGGCTGGGAGGTGCTGGGGGTTGTTCAAGGCACCCGTTACGTTGGCGCGCTGTGCGAGCATCCAGAATTCAAACGTATCTAGGTGGGACCAACCCACCGACGCCCATCAAAGGACGGGAAACAGTTGTCGGCTAGCCTCGGCGAGAACCGCAAGCATGTTACCCCGCTTCCGAGTGAAAGCAAGGCGATCATAGGTGTTGGTACAACTGTTTGTATGTTATCGATCGCAAATTCCGACCTCGAGTCCTACCATAATGGCCGTTATACCCGACTCCCCCATGAACCCTTTCGGCGTGATAAAATGGCACGGAAAGCTCGTGAGCTCTTTCTCTTGATGATGGAGCTGGGCTGGCGCGCCGAGAATACTTTTCATTGGAGTACGTACGGCCCCGACACTCATTTCCCTGACCTCGGATTGCGCCGAGACCCCAATCACGTAAACTATGTGTTGACTCGCCCTTGCGCTCCCTCGGCTACCTCCTGTCCGGCTGAGTTCCCCACGGCTGCGATGTCGGGTCATATGGCCTTGCGGCTTCAGCTGTAAATTGAGGGCACGAAATCGAATTGGACCGACGCAGCGATCCGCCCCCCCTCTACCACCGAAACCGATCAACTGGACCTGCGACGATTGCATGGGATGCCGGAACTCGATCGACGCCGAACCACAGATTGACCAAACGATGCATTCGATGCTCACGGACGAGGAGGCTTTCAGATTATTCTTGGACGGTTTTTTCTATGATAAGGTTCTTAGATCTCGTGAGCGTGCTCGAGACCGCCCCCGAGGCTGCGCGGGCCGGGGCTTCGCTTTCTCCCCAGCGGCATGTCCGACGGCGGGTTGGACGCTGCTGGCAGCATCGCGCGGACCGGCGGCTACTGGCCCAGAAGAGCACTTTTTGGGGGGCGCCTGTAGAGAGTCGAATAACACGGCAAAGCTGTCGGTACCTATCGAGGCCGGCGCGTGGCTCATCGATCAGGGCCCACCCCGGACATCGCATTCCCCCCCTCCCCAAGGCAGAGATCAAGTTTATTTTCGACTCCCGTGATACGCAGTAGATTGCACGGCAGAGATGGCGAGCCAGACGCAATTTGAATATGGTGGCAGTGCCCCAGGCCTCGGGCCCTTTCCAAAACAGAAGTGGTCCTTGCCCCAAAGACCTGGGAATGTGAATGATAGGGGTCCGAGGCCAGAGGGGTCCTGGAAGTTTCTCTGGTTGTGGCGCGCCGCCGAGCCTTCCTCGCGGCCTCAGCAAGGCCCTAGCGCGCCGCCGCAACTTGGCCGTCCAGGCTGCGTGCGACGGAGTGGGCCAGCCTGGTTTCGGGGGCGGCGAAGTGGAGGGCGGTGATTAGGGGGGGGTATCATGGCGGGGGCCATGAGATCTCCCCAGATTTGGGCGCCTCTTGTTATTTCATTACGTCCCTGGGCCCCCCCTTGGGCCGCGCACGCGCCGCCGGCCATGATTTGCGCCCCTTCCTCTTGGACGCACCCCTCTTGGCCGCCCCCGAGCAGTGCCTCCCTAGCCGCGCGCCTGGCCGAAAGGGAGCTCGGCCGCGAACTGAACATGCGCGACTTGGTTTTTAGGAGAAACGGGTTCGTTGAGGAATTTCTGATCGCATGCATCCGCTCCGTGCCTCGCAGTCTTCAGGATGACCGCATTTGGTGCAGACCCGCCAGCCAGCGTGCGCGCAGAGGGTGTTGGCCTGTGAGGCGCGGCGAGCCACGGGCCTGCTTGGTGCAGAAGGGGCAGTGCTGCCCCGACCGCGCGCTTGGCCGAAGGGGTCGAAGGGCATCCTGGAGCTCCGCCGGGTACATTTGGCGACCAGCGTGCGCGCGCAGAGTTTGTTGGCTTGTGTGGCGCAGCAGGCCACCGCCCGCCTGGTGCAGAAGGAGCAGCGCTGCCCCAGCCGCGCACCTGCCCTGAGAGGCCGTTCGAGGGCGTTCGAGAGTTGCGCTCCGAGGAAAAAATAGAGATACCGCTAGCTTTCTCTCATTTTCGCCTTTGGGGGCCTCCTGGGAGGTCCTTGTCGCCCCGACTGTAGCCTCGCAGTCCTGGTCACAACGTACCTGTGGAGAGGTCCAGGGAGGAGGTCGGCAGCGTTTGGTTCCCCCATCCGCCC